TTTTACTTTGGACTTTTGTGCGCTTCCTGGTCTTTTACTATCAAACTTCGATAGGTTTCATAGCTCGCTTCTGAGCCTTGTAGAGGGCAATTGATGGTTTGTTTGATTCTTTATATTTAAACAATAAACAATGAACGAAAAAGAGAATGAAAAGCTACTAGGACTTGCCAAAGCAGCCGAATATTCCTGTCAAGTTTCTCCTGCAAGTCCTGACAGTGATTTACCGCAGTACAGCGAGCTCTCTTATTCACATCTGGATAATTTGGAAAAAGGATGTTTATGTTTACATCCAAATCTCGTTCCTGAAAACAAGAGGGACGAATTGTCAGACGACGCTTCTGCAACAATGTGTTCAGACTACTGTGGTGCGTTTTGTGGTAGTGTTAAGAGCGGATTCTTGTATATTTCTAGCCCAGCGGCATTTGCGAGAATTCCACCTGCTGCAAAAAGAACGACAAATGAAGGACTTCGAGTTTTTTGGTGTTATTTATTCTCACTGATACTTGATTTTTCATTTTCATATTACGTTCTCTTTCCTTTTTTAAAGAATAATATGCTGAAAGATACTTCCATAAAGGTTCAGTATAGTGTGGCAGCTATTCTTATCGTCTTGGCCTTTTGGTTCTCTCTAAACTTGGTTTCAGGTATGTCAGTAGACGGATGATACTTGTTGAAAGTTGTGCTAATTAATAATGAATAGTTTTATTGGACTTGTTGATTTTCTCTTTGGATTTACTTCCCTTGTTGGCTTCTGCAGTTTCCAATGCAGTTTCCAAGGTTCTTTCTGTAGTGTTTGATTGGATTTCGAAAATCATCACCTATTCTTTAGGTTACGAAATGACATTTGAAGGAACCGAGTCGACGGGAGAAAATCAACTTCCAATTCATGCAATACCTCTTGGAAATCTAGAGGAGCCAAATAATCCTAATAGTCTTAGAGATGAGGAACCATCTTCTGAACGTTTCGAACAGTATGTAAGACGACAACATCACCAATCTAGGGATACGGAAAGCGGTAAAAATCTGCAAAGCAGCAGCTAATTCTTTCTCCCCTTAATTTTTTATACATTTTGTAGATTTACACTTTCCGGGTTCTCTGCTCTAAGGAAAGGTTTCTTGTTTCTCCCTTTCTCTTCTCTGCTTGCATATTAGGTTTTCTTGTCTTTTTCAAAAGTGTTGCTTATGTTTTGTTCTCTTTCTTTCTGCATATTTGGCCATGAAGTGCACTGACGTTTTACTATCGTACATACTGTGTTAGTCTTGCTCTCTTTCCGTTGAACTTGCCATTTTTTTTATTCGCATTTGCAGTTGCATTTGAATCCGTGTAACATTTTTAATTTTCGTGTTAGGTTATATGTTTAGTTTTCTTTTTATTCTAATTGGCTAATGAAGTATTGATAAACGTTCAAGTTTATAGCTTGCTGTTACGTGAATCAGCATAGCAGAAAGAATGCCTTACCTTACCTGGAAGAGAATCAACCTTCCGAAAAGGAATAAACAAAAAACCAAACCACAAATAAAAAAGTAAAGAGCAACAAAAAGGAAAGCCTACAGCACCCCGGATTCCCATGTTGTCTCCAACCATAGTACTAACAAGGCCCTCAGACGCTTAACTGCAGTGATCGGACGGGAACTGGTGTTTTCGCCTAGGTGTGGCCGTAGACACGTGCAAGTTCGTCTGAAAACATCTATGGAGTTTGTTCCATACATTGGTGTTTCTTGAAATTCAGATTTAGCTTCCTTTTGCTCAACCTTGGTCCTTTGTGGAATTCAATGGAGGATGCTGGGTAATATACAATGCGTTTTTTTCGTAGCTTAATTCTTTATAACTCAATGCAGCTTGTCATTACTTAC